AGCTAAACAAACACATATGGGAGTAAATCCACGTAGATATTAGAGAGATGTAGGAACGTTTTAGCTGTCATCTTAATTATATGGAGATTAGCCAATAAGCAATTAGAAGGTGAACAATACAATTTTGTCTCTAGATGTGTGGCAAGTTTTTTTTCTTTTTTTCAGCAAAAGTCTTCCAGTCCCGCCACGAAAGTGAGCTTGTAGCATTCTCCACCTTGTCAATCAACATGTAACCTACGAGCTATTCGGTAACGATCTCGTCAGCCAAGCAGAAAGCGTAATTATGATCAGAGTTTCTGCAGAACAATTTAAAAAAGCACTGACCCGCGTGTAATCCTTTAAACAGAGATATACTTATCTTTATGTTTTTCATTTTTTTCAGGCTATGCTATCTACCTCCTGCAATCAGTGTCTAAGAAGGAGGAAAGGTATTAAAAACTACTAAGTCGAATAAATATTGTAATAATACAATGTTTTTGTCTGTCACTTGTGACTATTATTAATATGCGGGAATAAGGCTAACTTAAAGAAATGAAGAGATTGTTATTTCAGAAAAAACTGCTTTCGTATCTTTGGTTAAGCCAAGAGAGTAAACAGTACTGAACGATGGGAAAAATATGCCAAAATGACATCGATGATTGGATTGAAAGAGATAAGAAAGCTGTACGTACATTCAGTTGAATCTGCTGTCTTCTAAAATCATTTACAACTTGTTCTCATTCCTAAGTTGTAAGCAAGTCAGTCCAAATGTTTCCGTGGTTTTTCGTCGAAAGAAGGAGAAACACCTGTTTTATTCAAAGTAAGAGCCTTTTTGTATTAAAATTCTTTTCTTTTTCTTTTTCAGACCTTGTAAGACGTCGACGGCGCTCTCTTGGTGGTAAGTCTGTCCGAATCTGCTTTGTCACACAACGAGCATCGTTGTGATGTGATAACTTGAACAGTTTGTAAAAATTCCAAAAACAATTTTAAACTTCAGCTTAGTCAGGAAAATATCCCTAAGTTCTCTTGAAGCTAAGGTTAAGAATAACCTCAGTTTTCTTTTAAGCTAAAAACGACAATCGGCACTGGTTAAAACCCAGCAACGAGCTTTTCAAAGAATTAAATCTAGCGCAAGTCACTGATTTCGATTAACTAGGCTCAGGATGAAAGAGATATTTCTTCGTCGCAGGCTGTGTAAGCTCAGTGGTTGTGGGAGAAGCGGCAAAGCCCACGAGACCTGAGCGGGCTAGTGAACCAAGCCCGCAAAGTGTCTGAGGGGTCTGGCACTAGGATGTTTTCTTGTCGGATCGCTCTTTCTCAGTACACCAATGAGTCGGTTGTTTTTTGTACTTAAGGTTATCTTTTATTTTAGATTGTCCGAGCAGGGCGGATGATATTTCACCTGGACCTGAAAAACAGCTTGCGTCCAATGTGGCAGTAAATTAAATTTGGACAGTATGATAACACAGACAACTGGTATGCGGACGTATCTTGGAGTCCAATTAATGGTGTGTAACTGGTTGTCGTTTGTCCTTTATCATACCAAACAACACATGATGCAAAAACGAGGGAATAAACTAACAGAAGCAACAAACAAAAAAAAGGAACAACAATTATGAGCCTTAGTCCCTGAACGCGAAGATCCATTTATTATAGCGAGGCTGTGTAACTTCGCATGTGGCTTTTATCAACCTAATCAGTGTACCAGAAAGTTGCTCAAAAAGTGGGGTTGTTACCAGTACATAAATATTTACACCAAGTTAGCTATAGATCTCATATATGACACTGTTGACAAAATTAAGGGTTTTAATAAAACTCTGGGCTAAATTGAAGGTAGTTAAGAACCCGATTTTGATTAGCAATGGCTTAGTGGTGTTTTGATCTCTGGTATTAGTATGAGGTATTTCTCAAAGCTATCTCAATTTCTTGGAGTGAAAGGTATTAGAACGTGCAAGAGCGCGGGGAAAAGGTGCTATTCGAAGACCAATTAATAATGATTTGAAAACTACGAGTATGATGTATTCAGCATAGAAAATCGGTAGTTGTCGTCTGCAAATTATCACAAGGCAAAAAATTAGTGTTTTGCTTGAAATTACACATATGCATAGCCACTAAGACTTTTCAACCCGACTTTTCAATTCCTCGAGTGATATATTTCTCACAATTTCGCTCTAAACTTGCCGAAAATTTTGGTGGTCGAAATAATTGTCTTGCTTGTTCTTAATTAAAATGATACTCTCTCTAATACTTTGTTCTAAATTCATAGATTCAAGTGGCTTTTTAAAAGGCTATTCGGTTCGTTACTTGTCAGTTGACAGTCAAGTACTTTGTGCTCAGGTGCCAAAGGTAAGAAAAGGGGTCTCATTGCTAGTCCTTTCCATAAGATGTTTGAGTGATCTGGTTGAATGGTATTATGTAAACAGCTAAAATAGGTAAACACAGTACAATTTGTGGCTATTCCTCTAAAGACGGAATGGAGAATATCTGCATGAGAAGCCTAAGATTTATATCGCGATTAAAGGGATGTATGTAAAACATTAACCACCCTCCTCGATTTTAGTAACCAAAAAGTAAAATAATCGTTCGAAAACTGTCTTTACATGTGGTGAACATGAACTGTGGACGTTTCCTTTTTAAAACTATTCAATAACCTGAGTGTGAAAGTAGTACCACAGTTCGTAGCCTGCCAGCAAGCGTGCGCAATATACCTGTGACTGAGTATTTCTTCGCCTGTCAACAAGAGGTCTGGTAACTCATTATTAGTGTTAGAACTCCAGCAGCTCGAGGCCTCACACCTGCTTGCGACCGGCGAGGAAATGCCCGTGCCGAAGTACTAGTAGTGACAGCCTGCTCGCAATTCGCAAAAACTCTTGAAACGCATTGCCAAGAAAATGAAAAAAAAAAAAAAAAGAATGGGGGGAGGAGGGACAGGACTTTTTACGTCACAGGTAAGCAGCCAGGCCAATTAGCAAGTTAAATCTTCAGTGTGCGAGTTTTCAGTTTAAAGACACTTTTTTTACAATTAGGTTACTTTAAATTATACGATACAATCACCGCCTTGATCTCATATGTTCTTGGTACCAGCGGTAATGAAAGTTTTGTGGTTTCTGTGACATATATACTTCTCCTTTCAACTCCCTCGGTCTGATTGGTAATTCTCCTTTTCAGCTGTGAAGCATATTCATTTACTTTTGTCGTACCTTTCTCCTTTTATCATGTTTTTAGAGCCAAACGTCTCTCAGAATAAATGTGTCTCGTTATGGCTATAATCAGGAGGAGCCTATTGACTTAGTGGTAAGTTCAAGGAGCGAATCACAGATCTCCTTAGGTTTTAATCTCTTTGTTTTAGTGTCGGTTTTTGCTCTTACGTTTCTGAACGCACTGACATGTCGCTTCACTGACTTAAACACGAAGGCGCGCTATATAAGGAAGTCTTCCCTGGGAAGACCTAGGCTCATTTGTCACTCACCGTTGACGTGTGCGGGTCAAATTCAAATGCTGGTAGACGAACAAAAGGAGCTAATGAGATATCTATTGTTTACTTCCACCAGCATGGTGGCATGAGGTAACGTGCGAACCACCTACTTCGATCTCAAATTTACCGCCACAAATAAAGACAGTTTCCATTGGAGAAAGGAAATACAAATCTCAAAAATTCTTGTATTGTGATGAAGACATAAAACAATTTTGAGGAATGCGCCCGTTGTTCACTGCTTTGGAGTAGCTGTAGCTCAAGTTGACTTGACTCTAACAGTTCTACATCACACGACGGTTGATTGACAAATGGTCCAGTGGGACCTAAGGCTCCTTTTATAGCGCGCCTTCGTGTTTAAGGGGTACGCTTCACTTAGTTTGACTGTAATTACTTTCGGTCTAATGTAGTTTAATCTCCTATCAGTAGATCTTCACCAAATATTTATTAAATCAATAATGCCATGCGAGTAGTATAGTAATTGAGTGGTATAGATCATCAACCCTAAGGCCTAAAAATCTGAAATAGTCCGTGAAAAAGATATAACTCTAATCTGTAAAACTGATCTGTAAAAGTGATCTGTAAAAAATGATCTGAAATAAATCTGTAAACTGATATGACAAAATT